GTAGTTGGTGCTGCCCCAAATCTAATAGTAGTACAAATCGACAATGTTCAGGATCGATCCCCAACATAGCTCGCTACATTCTTATCCCACCCACATCTCTTCAATTATCTTAGAGTTTGAACACGGTACGACTAAAGAGAACAAAGCTGAAATCAGTTGTTTATTCGCACATAGATGGTATAGTAAATCGGTATATCGCCAAACATTCCACAATGTGAATTCTACTCCAGTTGAACGCTCGATTTTGAATTCATCCTCCCTCTAGGTTCAAGAGGGCAGGGGTTATGAATTTTTGGTCGCAAAGGCACACACAGCCTGCATCCTGCGCCCTTACACGCTTAGCGCGCTGTGAGCCGGATGGCCCTTTAGGTGCCAGCTTCTCTGCTACGGCGAAATTGTAATATTTGGTCAGTTCATCCCTTCGTGTTCGGAAAAAAATGCTACCTCTCTGAACACGAAATTCGACAGGTACCACAATCTTGACAAAGCATCGCAAAGGGCTCAGCACGAACAGAGCAGTGCAAGTATTCAGTAGATGCAGATATCAAGCTTGTGACCAGTAGTTCGACCGATTCCTCTCCATCTTTGAACTATGATCCATTGAAGGTTCAGCAATCAAGCGGACAAGGCTTTGAGTGGCCTCACAAATGTTGGCGAGTGATCATAAGACCTTGTTAGAGGTCCTTACATGTTGTAGACTGTTGATAACTGTCTCATGACAACAAACCGTATAAATCAGGTGACGGATAGGGGGGGGGGGAATTAAATATGCCCAGAGCTGCAAGTGAATTTATGGGATGGACTTTCTGTTTCTGCTGTGCTGGTCTATACACCTTCTGTATCTTGCAAGTGTATCTACGCATACGTGTGTAGACAATGTGCGGATGTAGTGGTATCTTGCCCATGGATATTACATTCGAGTGGCTGGGAAGAACCTGGGAGGCCTCCAGAAGCAAAGAATTGCACCCATTTCGGGACAGCTTGCCTAGCCTCCACGTTACAGCCTGGCAAGCTAGTCGACGGGTACCCCCCTAAAGCAGTGAATAGGCCCCAATCTTCTTTTCTTAACCTGAGGGGACCTCCAATACGGCAGCGTTGGGTACGGCCGCTCAGGAGAAGCTGGTATATATACTGCTTTACAGGGTGACCCACATGAAGTGTGACGGCCAATAAAAAAAACAACTTATGGGCATTTGGGCTGGAGGAAGTGGTGATCGCTTGGGCGGAAAGGAACGCGATGAACGTCAGCTGAACCTTCCACAGGATTGGGCATCAGCCCACAGCGCAAAGAAGATGCTGCAATGTTGTAAAACCACGCTTCCGGGTTCTGGGGGCGAAGCAGTTTTGACCTTCAAACTCCTCGATCTCAATCCTTTGAATTTTTGTGTATGGTCGATTCTGGAGCAAAAAGCCTGCGCTTTCAAACACAGGTCTTAACAACCTCTGAAAGAAAACTTTCTTGTAGAAGCGTGGGATAAAAGTGATTGCGCGCATTCTTGAAAACTTCCGAAGGAGGTTGGATGCTTGCATTAAAGCAAAAGATGGTCATTCTGCTTGCGAGATGTGATATGTTGTATAGAATTTTGTGATGATTGTGTAGGAGTAATAGTTTCCTATTTGGTTTGATCTGTATAATTTTGATGCTAGTTTTCTGCGTCACACTTCATGTGGGTCACCCTGTATACTGCTGCAGGCCAAAACAGCCGCCCAAAGTAAAAGAACTAACAATGTCAACGTCAAGACTGATCCTGGAAGGACACAGTGCTCCACATCGGCATGACGAGGGTGGAAAGTTGCCCGACTTCACTATGTCGACCCACATTATCCATGACTTGCAGTTTCAGGAACCCTCCCACTTGCGATGGACGTGGGAGCCACCTTGTGGAGAGTGTAATAAAATAGACCACACCATCTTCAGTTGGAGGATTTGCCTAAATGATGTCGCTGTTGTTTTGAAGTTCTACACGAGATCAGGCCATCGCTTCCTCCTCAATGGATTCTGTTTCTCAGGGCGTGGAGAAAGAGCTATGAAGTGTAGAAGTCGAAGCTCCAAGGCCTTCATCAACTGGGTTCACTTCGTTTTCTCATGAAGAAAAAGATCGAAGTGCGAGGAAGTTCGCGATAAGGAGAGAGCCTGCAAATAGCCAAGAGTCTATTCTTTTCGAGGTATCTCGAGCTGATTCGCCAGCGTCGGATCGCGCGAGCTATAGGCAACTGCCAACAAACCTCCAAATCGCGGGGCAATGCATAGAAACGATATAGGAGGATCCGAAGGAGAGCAAAGCAGTAGTTACAGGTGGGCCGACAAGAGCGCTCGCAAAGCCCGCTGGAGCTAACCGATACATCTAAGGAGTCTTCCACCAGTTGTCGTCGACCCTCACTAGACTCACGCGGTGCCTGTCGGGCGGGAAAGCAAAGAGCCCTGTCATGGAAACTAGCAAGACGGTAAGAAGCGGATCTCGACGGTATTGGCAACTATCGCACAATCTGCCTGCTATCTGTAATCTACAATCTTTTCACATGCGTTATCCTAAACAGGATTGGCAGTATACTAGATGAAGGACAGCCATGCGAGCAAGAGGGTTTCTTAGAGGGTTCAGTACAATCGATCATATCAATACTCCTACAAGACACGTTGAAGTATAGCGGGTGTACTAAACGCCGTCATGTCTCACTTTCATCATTTGAAGGTCTTTTATACTGTCGAGAGAGAAGCGAGAATTGGATTTCCGAGCAACCAGGGTGTCCCTTTTTGATACATGAGAATGCTTCGTGAGCTTTACGACAGCTTCACGACCAGGATTTCGCCATTCTATAAGGAAGTCATAATAAACTGAATAAAGGGGTCCGGCAAAGCGATAATATTTTGGCCAAACTTTTCAGTGCCGCTGTCGAGAACGTCATGCGTCACATGCTCATGGGAAACGGATTGGTATCTGATGCTCCTCCAGCCGAACGGAACGAATATTTCTGAATGCTCTATCCAGGTTGAGAAATCAACATGATGGACACCTAGCTCCAGAGCTAAGCAAAAAAAACGCGCCGCGAGGAGAGCATTCAAGAATATCGAAGAAGTAGTGAAGAAGACAAAGAAGGAGTTCGGGTTCCGCGCTCACCGTTTCGACACTTCTGTCCTTCCTACTTTGACGTATGCCTCTACTACTTGGGACTTGCGCCCTAATATGAGCATGCTGTCAACGTTACTCAACGCGTTCTGGAAAGGACCATGCTCGAAGGTTCTTCACAGAAGCAAGCGCAGAGGGGGATCCGGAGTTTCAAACTCCGTAATCAAACGAAAAACAGCGATTTCGTTGCCTACGTCAAGAAATCAGAGATCAGGTGGGTTGGTCACTTTATGAGATATAGTGATTACGTTCGGACCAGGGCGGTTACTGACTGGATCCCTCGAAACATCAAGGGAGCACCAGGAGTGCCGCCATCGCGAGGGTCTGACTTTTTCATGAAAGCTCTACGCCTCGTGTCCTCGAAGCGAGGACGGTGGAGAAGTTATTGGCGCGCGCTCAAGGAAATAGATGATCAACGAAACGAAGGTTATACAGGCGAAACTGCTCTTCGTGTATTGTGCGGTTTTTATGGTGCGGTAGTTATAGTAATAGTAAACCTGACACTTACTTGATGCGATCGGAATTTCAAAAACATCAGTCAAGGCAATTTTGAAAAACGCAAACCCTGGCATTATAACGAGGTACCAGAAAAAAGTGAATTAGGATCGTCTCGAAGAAAGGAATGAAAAATGGAATCAGAAGGTATTTCGTAACAGCAGAAGCAGAATTCACTTCATAAGTCAAATGTATTAGGCGAAACTTGCGATGGTAATGCTTAACAAACTATGTTGCTTTGTCTAACACGCTATATAATTCTTTGGGTGCATTTTTTGTCTGGAAATCGAGCCGGAGTTTATGACTCCTATTCCTAGACCTTTCCGGCTTGAGAGAGATACTGAAGGCATGGGGGATCCAGGTAGGAAATGATAACAGCTGGCATGGTGCCTTAGAAATCTGCGCTGTTCGCATCAACCTCGAAGCCATGCTACACTGGTAGTGGTGTGGGATATGGCGGAGTCGTAGATGATTGGTGACAGGAACTAGTGATACCGTCAGGGGCTGTCAAGGAGGCATAGTAGACAAGTCCATACTACTTGAGAAGGTACTCGCCTGCTTTCGTGATTACGATGCAGTCTAAACACAGTTTAGTCTGTTTCATACGATGAGACGGCCTTGTGGAATGGGCCGGCAATTTTTGACACTAAGCCAAAGTTAAGCAGAATAGTTCCAAAATTTGTTTCTTGTTTAACCTTTGCACCAGTACTGAAGCATAACAAATTTCAGTAAGTGAGAGCGAACCTAGGGCTTTGAAAAGCCTCAAAAACACATTAAGAATGTCATCACGGAGTGCGATCCAGATGAAATTGGGAAGGAGAGATTCAAGAATTTCCGAAAACTACTCATTTCATGGAGAACGCGTTAGCGACCGGACGATCACTTCTGAAAGTCACTCGAGAGTACTTATCTGAACAGAAGCGTGGTCCTCCGGTCCAACGGTCATCACAAAATCATTTGCATCACGTGTCGTCCCGTTCCTCGTCGTTTTTCTCCTAAAAGTGCCATTGCCTATTAGTCTCTGTCGCGAGCGAGAGTAGTGCTACTCTCTCGAGGGGCACGCATGGTATACATTTAACCTCCCAGAAGATCCAGTCAGTAAGTTCTCCGATCCAACGGTCATCACAAATCACATGACGTGTCGGGCCACTCGTTCTTCTATTTCTTTGCGTATGCAACGGTGTTCGTTCGTTCACAGGGCTCCCAACTCTGCATTCCACTCGCAATTAAATGTATCGGGTAATCCCCGGCGTTGTCTTTTACACGGCGCCCGTTGGATATACTGCATGCTCATTTTGTTTTCGTAGAGCATGAGTCTCGAGACGCGTTTCAAAGCAGAATGAACTGCAGTGCCAAGAATGTAAGCGATAAGCATCCTCGATGTTTACTCAACTTCGGACATTTTTCGTTTATTATTTTGACTACTATAACCAGTTACCTGAAGTAGAACATATAGAGTTGTTAGTATCGTTTAGCGTTAAAGACATCGTTCACGATGAGAACGATTTCTGGATGTTTCTCCAGGCTGAATCTGTAATCCTCATCCTTACTCAGCCCTATGTCGTCGGACTTTCTCGTTTCCGCGGCATCGGTGCACTTTTCTGCATCAACACTTCCGCTCTTCAACTCGAAAATGGTGTCTCACCGCTCCTCACCTCGAAGGTGAGGCCTCGAAATGGTCGTGAGGCGTGCCTTCTGCTGATCCTCGAGAACCACTCCTTTTATCATGAACATAGGCGATTTTAACCTCCAAGTACAGCGATAATACACAACAGTACCATACCTCCTGCTAACACTCACTAGGTCATGCCTTGACAATGGGCTCATTATTTTTATTCATTCGTGTGCACCTCCATTTTGTTGATCAAACACTCTCTTGTTATATTCAGATACATTGAAGGTCATTGCTGAGAGGTCATGTGATTCTCCCAATCATTCTCCTTTTCTACCAGCTGACCCCTAACTTTTTCATGAATTTGCCATCTATGGCATGCAGTTGTTCAACCTTTTTACTATTTACTTGAAGGTCTCAAACCTTTTATACCGAAAAATACTCGTAATTCGTAGCATCTACTATTATTCTGCAAAATTGAAAAGGTTTTTCACCACGGGTGGATGTAAAAATGTCGCGATGTGTTGAGGAACGGGAGAATGAAATTATTTCTTGTTAGATTAGCCTGACGATACTTCGGGAACTTATTCCTTTGCAGAGTAACATTTGTAATTTTCCGCAATAATATTTTCAAAGTTGGACTAGGAGATTCTCCGAAGTTATATCCTTCTTCATTTCAGTTTCACATATATTCGCATAATCGCCATCGTACAGTTTGTGTTTTTCATCGTGCCGTTTCCTCTGAAGATCCTCACCGAGCACTATCAACGCGGTCAGACGTGGATTGCCGCCAACTTCTTGCCTGTTGTCATCGGGCTCTTTCACTTTGCTATTTCGTCACTATGTCTTTGTGTTGCTTTCCGATTGCAACTCTTGCTCAATTACGTTAGGGTAAGTCTTCCACTTATTGTAATTAGCCAGTTCGGTGTTCATGCTAGAACTGATCGTGGAAATTATCCTAATTCACAACCGGGTAAGCAGATGCCTAGAAGTCTCTGAGATCTTTACGTCTAACTCAGTGGGATGTAAGGTTGTGGCATTTACTAGGCAAATGGCCGCATTCGTAGATTTGTTTGACTTCTGATTCCCACTGAAAAGGCCATCCATTCTGCCAGAATTTCAGCCATCGATAAAGTCCCTTCATTATTAATCTCAACGGCTCAGTTGTCAGAAGTGTTGTACAGAGGGTGAATTGGCATTATACAAAGTCAAGAGAGAATTGATTATGGAGTATTATAAAGTTTGCCCGTTCGATTGTTGTGGCTAGGCTGTTTGATGTTATTGTACAGTGAGCTGCTACAAAATTGTTGGTTTTTACTATTCTGGGAAAGGAGTACCCCAAGTAGTTTCTAGGCCTTCTTCGAACCCGACCCGCTTCAGGCTGCTAGGCATTGGCAGCGACTGCCTTCTTACACTCGAGCGGTTCTCTAAATATTATGCGCTGCTATAAGTATAAAACTAGGAACGGAATCTTCGAACCGTGAAACTAAGGCATAGATAAGGGTTCCAGCAGCGAGCTAGCTTGAAGAAGCTTCTCATGTCATTTTCAAAGGGAATGCTCGCTGAAACCCATGTGCCGTTTATGGGCGTAGTAAGCGTTGAGCCGTTTTGATCCAAATTCTATCATCCTTGAATACCTCAGCCTATCAAGGGGCTGAATTTGTTTCTCCGGGATCATAGTTTCACATGTTAAAACCTTTATAAATTATATTGCCGTTAAAAACGGAATCTCTAGGTTAACAAAAAACGTCAAACGAAATCCAGTGCCCAACAAGAGAATTCGCTGAGAAAGGGGCTGCCGAGGAGAAAAAGACACCTCTTATGGCTGTATTTGGCGACCGATATTTTTGAAACTTTGCCACTCAGTTTAGTTTAGCGTTCAAGACGATGGAATTCGTTGGCCTGGGTGGCCTGGCGTAAGATTTGCTGGATTCTGCCCTTCGGTGTGATCGTCAATGTATCGCTCTGCTTCGAGTACAATCTTGACTACGATTTTTGCGTGATCGGGTAAGTTTTACTTATTCTGATTCTTACTCCTTTTTCATCTTTTTCTGAAACAGAAGCAAGTGATTACCCTACGCAACGGAAGCTATCGTCGTATATGGCGACGATCCCCATAACTATGTATATTGTCGTCTCACTGTCTGAGACGAATCCCTAGCTGAACCCACGCCCCTAAATGGTGCGGGGTCAAGCGGACCCGAGATAAGTGGGTCCGCACTCCTCTTCCAATATCAGCGTCACGGCAAGACGTAAGTTAACTGTCCGATAAAGTATTTGTTACCATTATTCTGTGCTTTACTAGCGGGAACGACCGCACTTACTATATATTGTGTTAGATTCACTCCGTTATCACCGGAGCCCTGATAAATAACCACTGATTCACCCGCACATTTTTGGTGCACGGCTAAAATAAGCCAAATATTCAACACCCAAAGACTTTTGAATCTATAGTAGAGTCGAACGTGGCCTACAACTTTCGAAAGTCGAAAGTTAATCGAATAGAATCGAACGAGGTTCTGTCATAAATTTTAAAGTCACAGTATAATTTAAAGTTTATCTAATCAACACATAGCACAATGTCCCTCCACTTTCATAAAAGACCGATCATTTGTAGTGCAACGACGCTTAAGAATTTGGTCGCGCGCTATAAGGAATATACGAAAAAGGTAGATTTCCCATCGATCGATGAAGAGACCTACGAGCAATGTAGGTCTGCAATAGCACTACTGGAGAGTGGCATTAGGCAATTAAACGTAGGCACCGATCAACTCCAAAAACTCTATACTGGATCAGAGAGGAGTATCAAAATTGTAAGAATAAGGCAGATAGGAAGGATATAATGCTCGAAATAGAGCAAATAGAAGAAGATACAAATCTTCACACTATATTGGCCGATGCGAACGAGCTCGGCTTTATGTTGACTACGCGCCTTGACGAAGCAAAATGCGGACAGGGACAGATTAGACGTCAAGTTAGGGTACACCACGCAGAAAGCGCAAAGACTGCAAGAACTGTTCCTAGGAGGAGAAGACCAGCGCTCACAAATAAACCCGGACGAGGGTTCAGAGCAGCTAGCAGCCAAAATAGGACTCTCAGTAGGTATCGCAGACGAGACGCAGCCTGTTGAGCGTATCAACCCGCCAAGAAGTTGTCGCTCAATAAGACCACCTCAAACGTCCCTGCCCAAGTTTCACCGGGACGCCGAAGACTTCCCAAAGTTCTGGGCAGTCTTTGAAACATTAGTCCACAAAAGTAATGAGCTTGACGTCATGGAGAAAATTCTACTGTTGAAGGAAAGCTTGATGGGGAAAGCGCAGAACTCTATAAAGGGGATAAGACTAGTGGCAGAAAATTACGACTGGCTAGTTCAGACCCTTCAGAGTAGTTATAGTGACCTTCCCGTAAATAGAGCCCAAATAGCGAAAAAGTTGGTAAATCTTAGGTCAGCTGGGACTTCGGCAGAAAGTTGCTTAGCAACGTTTGGCCAAATACAAGTTTTGGTCCACCAAATGATCTCAGCAGGCTACGACGTAAGAAAAACCTGTGATCCAATATGGTGCGAAACTACATTGTCGAAATTTCCTCAGGATGTCGTAAAGCCTGTTCTGAAACAGGGTCGATCCCAAGATAGTACCACAACGGGAGAATTGATTGCTCAATTGAAGAACGAGATCGCCGATAGGCACTACGTTGAGGGTAGGATGGGTCATGCCCTAGGCAATAATTCCACCAAAGGGCATAATATGGCAATCAACTCGCGCCCCCAAATTAAGGATAGGTGCATTTTTTGCCATAGGAGTAATCACCTATCGCTTGCATGTAGAACCATTACGGATCAAAGCCATCGCCGAAAAATAATAGCAGACGAGAATAGGTGTTGGAAGTGCTGCTCACCTAACCACAACAGTTTCGAATGCCATAAAGCCAATTGCACGAGATGTGGTCAAAATCACCATATATCGTTGTGCGTCAAAAAAAGTTATATGGTAGAACAACAAATCCATCTTTGGCACCCAAGCCAAGGCAAAAGCAGGAAGAATTTCCCTACCGAGAGCCATCAGGGTAGTAGTCGAGGTGAATTTTTCTCTAGGCCTCAAAGTAATCAAAACGGGACTCATTATAACGTTCAAAGAGACCAGAGTAATTCTAGGAAATTTTTGAATACTAGCACCCTTATGAGGACAGGAAACACCGTTCCACTTGCTAGTGAGCAGAATCAGGCATGTTCGCAGCTAGTATTAATGAGTGCTGAGGGAGACCTGTGGAATTATAGGAAGCAGTACTACGAAAAGGCGCTTTTCCTTTTCGACTCTGGGGCCCAAAAGACTGTCATTGAACAGCGAATCGCAGAGCANCTGACAGGTTTCAAAGCCACGTAGTGACTGCAAAAGTAGGCACTGCGTTTGGAGAAGAACTCGACTTAAGGATCCAAACAAAACCAGTGCTTACCAGCGGGTTCCCCAGCGTCAGACTGACGGAAATAGATACTAATTTTTTGGAAGAAAACAAAATTTGCTTGGCAAACTCAAATCTTAGAGGGGAACAACAACGCCCTCACATTTTAATAGGGTTAGACCACGACCATGAATTAATATTGGGACAGTACTCTCTGGCGAAAACATCCTCAGGTCTTCATATTGCAAAGACAATAATTGGGCCTACCTTATATGGTAAGGGGATGATTGGGGAGAAATTCACCGAACTTAAAACATACTATGAGACGACCGTCTGTAATTCCTCCCTGTTAAAGCGTAACAACATAACAGGAGCAAATGAGCTTAGTCCATCAAGTGAAAGTTATGTAGTCAAAGCACCCAAGAAACATTCCATGAACGAAAAATTTGCGAAAAGAAGATCAAGAAGCTTCAAAGCATCAAGAACTAGAGCGAGCATCGATCTCGTTTACGCCGCATACAGTCATCTCCACGAAACCCAACGTATACCAAAGAGCCATACAACAGCAAATCATATCATCAAAGTCCAGAGCATGCACTGAATAATTGCAAAGGAACCTCAGAACACCACAAGCAGCGACCTCACTGTCCCCTTCTTCTAATTGCAGTAATCCTTTCAGCGAGCCCAATGGTCATTCTGTTCATTTTGACGATAGAGTAATCAATTTTGGATTTCTCAACTTCATAAACCGTAGTGCACCCGTATCTCAATGATAATAATCGTATTTATGATTGTTCAGTCGAAAAGTAAAAGCAAAAAATTTGCTAAACGTCACCTATTGCTGCTTATACATCAAATTAAGCCTATTATGACAATTATTTACAATATTATGTGGAGAACCAATGTTCTACAGCTGTGTAACCACCCGCCGTTTACATTTTTGGCTACATACGGAGTTCAAGCTTTTCTTATGAAGCAATTCAAATATCAAAAATACCAGCTAGTTATTCTTGCGGCACCCCCGAGCCAGCTCCTTAGGTTCGTAATTAGATTAAAGAGATTGAGTTCGATGGTGTACACACCCGCCTTTGCAGGGCTGCGTCTCGCAGTGGGTTATCTTCTAGATACTAGCATGGTTCACTTTGATTGATTGCTGCAATGCTGCCACTCACTTATACTCAAAAACGGCCGGATACTAAGACAGTACTTGATCATGCTCCACTCTAAATAACTGCTTGCAGTTACGATATATCCAAACCTTTGAGTTTTTAAATAATCTTCGATATGCTGTATGAATAATATGACTGATACATCAATATGACTATTGAATGAGTCCCCAATGTCTATCGGCTGCCCAAATCCACATTAATCCCAACGAGGGATTCTCCTTAAATGCAGCAATACGATTTGACTCGTGGTCAAGTTTAACTTTAGTGAGACAGCTGGCTTTAATGACAAGTATTTTACAATGTGCGGGTTCCTTCAGGTGGGTATAACATGGCAATATACTTGATCGAAGTGATCAGTACTAAAGAGAGCATTGACAGGTGTGAGCAGTTCAGAAAGGAGAGGCACATTATGCACTCGTCCTCCAAAGTATATTTTCTCATAGCACTACTAATTCTCTATAATTTCACACTGATGTCCCGGTCGTTACAACTGCTAGAAGCCTCACAATCACAGGAGCTACGATGCGACTGCACTCATTCAACACCATCAAGAAAACCACCTGTCGAGCTGCCATTTGTGGATATAAATTGTCACCTTGTCATGTATATATGCCCATTTAAGCCCCCGTTGAACTGTAAACTCCGTTGCCGGCGGAGTATCGTCGTCTATGGCGACGATCCCCATAACTATGTATATCGTCGTCTCACTGTCTGAGACGAATCCCTAGCTGAACCCACGCCCCTATATGGTGCGGGGTCAAGCGGACCCGAGATGAGTGGGTCCGCACTCCTCTTCCTATATCAGCGTCACGGCAAGACGTAAATTAACTGTCTGATGAAGTATTTGTTACCATTATTCGTGCTTTACTAGCGGGAACGACTGCACTTACTATATATTGTGTTAGATTCACTCCGTTATCACCGGAGCCCTAATAAATAACCACTGAACCACCCGCACAGAAGCTGTGCATAAGACGGTGCTCATCAAAGCCCCTCAAAAGCATAGGATTGGAAGGCCAGCAGCCTTGGAGCTTTTCAAATCGTAACTATTATGGGTAGACTCCATGAGCAAGATCGAGATAATTATGACAGCTGTTAGTTTTAATAACCACACTTCTCGTTTTCACTCTGCAGTGGCCCATTCTTCGACATCACAAGTGTTTTGAGACCTACTAGCAACAGAAGAAGCCGTGCGTGAAGGAAGGACACAAAAGCGCAGCCTGAAGTTGAAAAGCGTGCCGCTTGTGTATATCTTGGAACGCTGCCGTTCCTTTAGTGCTCGTCCTTAATTGCGGATTCTTTTACACTAACGGCGTCCTCGGTCGCCTTACCCAGTGGCGCGCGTGGGGCGCTTTCAGGGTTCAACGAGGTGCGTTGAAAACGCAGCGTTGCAAGACACACGTTGACAACGTAGGAAATCGTGTGTAGGCAAAGTTGGTTGGTCGGTGGAAGTGCGCTGACGACGTCAGCACCCGCTCTGGCTGCTTTTGCGGGGAAGCATGTGGTTTTCCAAGCGGTGGACAAATCTGGGGTCGAGGAGCGGAGCCTGTTTAGTTCATTTGTTTCGACTTCTAAGAAATACTACAGCGTTGTCTCATATTGCACTTTCATTAACAATGCGTTCAGAGGGACCCACTTACTCTCGATTCTCGCTTAGGAATCGTCCGCATGCCATCGGACGAGCAAGACTTTCTGAGACAGCCAGACAGGATCACATCAAGATGGAAGTGATTCGATTCACACCGTCGCTTATTTACTGGTACTATTTTAAACATTTTCTTGTGCTGATTAGTTTTCTTTTTGGTTACTTTTTCTGTCAAGTTGAATCAAAGAAGAGGTTTGTTCAAATCCTGATTTTCTAGTATGCGAAGTTTAGATTTCTTTTTAGTTATAGCTGTTATGCCGAGAACTTTTTCGATGAAGGCTTTCTTGTTGAGGTTTGGCGAGCCACTTTATGACGAGGATACATAGCACTCCCACAGGCGGCAGAGAGTGGGAAATATTGCTAATCGCTAGTTGCGCAGAGCTTGATTCAAAGAATTCCTACTTAGTTGGGTCGACTTATACCTTTACTCGCATGCTGGTGTCTTGCAATTCGGCTAAGCCAAAAGCTCGCACTCGATTGACTGGAAAATAAGTGAGAGGTCATTCGGTCGCCCTTGATGAATCAGGAATTTGCGCGCTGTGGGATACCCTGGCTCTCTCTTGCGAGCCTACCCAGCCTTGTCGCACGTTATGTTGGCTCGATTCAAAATCTTGGATGATAAATAAATGTTTTATTTATTCAATTATTTATTTATGTCTGTTTTCTGCCTATATAGGATAAAGATATCCAGTTAATTCATAACTACCGTAGCCCATTTTGAGCGAATGTTTCGCAATTGCACGAGTCGAGCTACACTCTTATTTGTCCGGTGGAAGGCAGGAAAAACCCGAAACCTCTCATTTCCAGTATCTCTAAAATGTGAGGGAGTTCCGTATATAGTCAATACGAAGGGTAAAAGCATTTTGCAAGCATTTAGGGCACGTTTCATGGGGAAGCAAATAGGCGTATGCATCTAGGACTCGTGCCCTAACAAAGAGTCCCCAGGGGAAGTTCCCAGTACCAACCGCACCACTATTGCACAGTAACGTAACTGCTTTGCTCAGTTATTATTCTGAAGTTGTATAATACAGGAGAAGAGCGGTTTCGTATATTTGTCAACAAGAAAGCTACACATATTTGCGATCAGCGTTCGAAAACACCTACGAATGAAAACATCTCATTATGAATGGTCATAGAGACCAGGTACTCTTCCCTTGTTCTGAGAAGTAAAAGCACGGAGTGGGGAGAATTCAAGAACATCGAGGAGCAGAAAAGAAGAAAAAGGTCGTCCCGTTATGCTCTTAAATTTTCATCACTGTGGTCCTTCCTGCTGTGATATAAGCGTCAGTGACATGGAACCTACGCAAGCAGGGTGAGCGTAAGCCAAGTGCTATTCTTACGGTTCTGAAGTACTGGCAGTTCTTCTGTTAGTACTCCAAAACCGTAAAAATCTGTGGGTGTTAATATTAATTCAAGAACGAAAACCATCAATTACCTTCGTACAGCCAGTGCTGCCGCAAATATTGAATTGGTCTAAAAATTGAATCACAAAAGTATGGGCAGCAATTCGTGGCAATGTATTTAAACTCATCAGATGAGAATGACAATGGAATATATATATAGTGTATATATAGTGCGTTCCATAATTATAAGGTCACCCTCAAATTTTGCGCTTTCAGAAAAAGCAATCATTAGAGATTTTTTCTAGCATCATGAACGGATTCCCCAGCACGAATAACCTAGGTTTCCGTTTTTTAGCCGCAGCTGCATCTTTCTGAACTTTTTTAGAACAGTTTATCGGTTTTTGCACCGTTTCATAATTATAAGGTCACCCTGAGAAAGTGAACAATTATTCATGGAAGAGAGCAAATTTCGTGTCT